AAAGATTAGTATTTTTGTCCAGATTGTAGGAATCCGAAAAACGCGTTTCACAACTTTTATGCAGCATTCAAGATGGCGGCCCATATTGTAAATATCGCATTTATTTTATTATCACGTGTGCGCCAGCTGACTGCGATTACAATCATCATATAGAAGTAAAAACAAATCTGATAATATTTGTTTTTGTCACAGAACGCCGACTTATGAAACATCCATTGACTTTCATACGTGGGTGTCCGGACGACGCAGTTGAGTTGAAGCATATACAAAGACAAACAATTATACGTCGAAACAGTCTGCCAACAAACATGCTGCTCTCTAATTTCCCCGGCTGTTAGGCGTTAGCGTTGGGTAGCCAATCAGGCACAATCTTGTAAGTAGCTTCGCAAAAAAATTACACGTGGAAAATACCTGTCGACAAGCAAGCTGCTCTCTGATTGGTCTGGCTGTTAGGCGTTAGCGTTGGGTAGCCAATCAGGCACAATCTTGTAAGTAGCTTCGCAAAAAATTTACACGTGGAAAATACCTGTCGACAAGCAAGCTGCTCTCTGATTGGTCTGACTGTTAGGTTTTAGGTTTGGGTAGCCAATCAGGCACAATCTTGTAAGTAGCTTCGCATTGACTCGAAATATGTGTTTATCTCATTGTCATTATTGCATAATTTTAGTACCTGGTTTAGGCTTAGAGGACGATAACATCTCACTGTGTTTCTTTTTCATATCATTAACACATTTTTTAATATGGTCAATGTCTCCACGTATATTATTCACCTAATAAAACAAACGAAAAGAAGGTTATCAATTGAGCAATATGCCTTTTGTGCCCATTCCAGTAACGAGGCACTTTTGTGACGTCAAAATGACGTAGACGACTGTGAACAGTCTCCAAAATTCGTAATTATATTAGTACGCCACAATAGAAGATAAAGTTACCTGTGCAAAAAATTCTTGCATAAAATTCTCACCGCTATCCAGCTGCTCTATGTCAATTCTAACCTTCCCGCCATCATCAGTGGCGACAGACTCGTCGTCATCTTTAATTAATTGGGCCTGGAAGAGAATCACACAATTGTCAATAGCAATTACGTTATTATACTTCTGTATCGCTAAGTTACAGCGTGGTGTAATTTTGCGGTACTGCACGGACTATCTGTATTCTACCCTATTAGGAAATGCGCGTTCCAAATATGGAACGATTACGCGGCATTTCCAAAATGATGGACGCTTTTGAAAACGAAATTTAAAGCGCGAAATTGTATCTTATTACGAGGATATCGCAAAATATGATGAGAGTCGATGTAAAATGGTGAACATTATGACTTCATTTTTATTATGACAGTTTGTTGAAGGGGAAATTCACTTTACCCCAAAGGTAAAAGCTAAACCAGTATAATAGTCTGCCATTCGCACTGGTTCGCTTCATAACAAATTCGCCGTGCCTGTAGTGGTGCAGGAGACATTGGATCAACAGTCACCTCTTCACTTCCAGCTCCTACATAACTGCTGCGGCTGTACTTCTGGGCAACGTCTCTGAAAATAAGTTGATGATTCTACACCGATTTTTTCTACTTCTGCGAAATCGCCAAAGAAACATAGCATGTGGAACAAAACAATTCTAAGTTACCTGGGTTGGACGTTCCAGTTCACTATATTCTGTCAGATCCCTTTTCTCACGGCAAAGACAAATCGCTGACAGAGAACTTTCTGTATTAAAATGCCTTATCATAGGCTGTTCGCTTAGTGGATACTGCGCCTACAACTCGACATGTTTCAGAAGGTGGTATAAGACTATCTTGATCGTTTTCTTTCTTTGCCGACGAGATCCGCGGTGTACCACCTTATTTTAAGACATCATCCTTTGTACCATTGTCTTCACCCGTGGATTTTCACACATATGAAAAGATGGAGTTGCCAGATGTCCCACCTTGGCTACTTGAGAAAGATATTTAACCCTCCACATAGCAAAATTTGTCCACCTTATTTGCTACTCATGGTGTGATTTAGACCAACTGGCTATAGCCCCC